GGTCTACAGAGCTAGTTCCACGACAGGCTCCAAAGCAATACAGAAAAACCCTGTCTCGAAAAGCCAAACAATACAAAATTTTAAAAAAGAAAAATCTGAACGTCAGGTGCCATATCAGGTAACTTCTCTTAACTTAGTAATTTAGTAATGAGTTTTCAAAGCTGAAGAATCAAGAATCCCATTCAAAACTCCTGACACTCCTAATTAAAAGCCATACATCTACCAAGAGTTAACACATACTCCCATGTAATGAGCTTTGGGCCACATCACGGCTCACATGCTATTTCCTTCTCCCCTCCATTTGTCCCTATTATGCATACTGCCTTCCACTCCTCCCACTCATGAGATAACCAAGTCTAATGTCATTTTCATTTTTCATAAAGTTGCTGAAAGCTATTCTGGTGGTTCCTAGTTTAAGCCGATTGCAAACAAAGAAGCTGTTTGGCACTCACATCTCACTTTTATGTGAACACAACTTTTATTTGTCTTGAACAAATAGGTAGGAGTAGATGAATAGATGTCTAGACTACATGTGGGTTTAGCTTTATAGAAAAGTGTTATCTTGTTTCCCCAAGTGCTTGTACCATTTTATATTTCCACTGGCCATGCTTGAAAGTTTCCATTGTTCGAAGTTCTTGCCTACATTTTATATTGTTCATATTTTTCAAACTTCACATTCTATTAAGTATGCAGACTGATCTAATTATTATTATGATTTTAATTTCCCATATGACTATCTTTTCATATTTTCCACACATGCATGTGTATTTTCCTCAGTAACTTACCTACTCAAATATTTCAGTGAATTTTTTAACATCATTTTTTCTTATTAACCTCCCCAAGAGTTTTTTACACACTTTAGACAGGAAGGCTTTGCCTGATAAGCTAGTTTCTTACAGGCATTTTTGTCCCAATCAATTTGTCCTTTCATTTCCCTAACAGTGTTTTCAAAGAGTTCTTTTTGGCTCCTTTAAAACTGTGCCTTAGTTTGTCCTCCATAGCTTGTCCTTTATATTAGAAAATTCTAATTTCCAATGAACAAAATCATAACTTCCAACATTAGAAGAAATATAAGGGAAGCAACTAAAGATAGCATGGCTCTATATAAAATTTACTTGGAAAATATAGCAACTGGGAAGTATTTGGCCAAGAGTAGCAGGAAAATCTAACTTTTCTGGGTTGAATTTAAAGCGCTAACTTTACATTTTTTATTTATTTTAATTTTTATTTGGTGTTTGGGGTGTATGGGCATTTCACCTACATGTATATGTATGTCTGGTGTGTTCCTGGTGCCAGTGGAGGTCAGGAGAGGACATCAGATCCCCTGGAACTGGAGTCACAGACCACTGTGAGCTGATGTGTGGGTGCTAAGAGCATGCTGCCCATGTTCTCAGTCACTACCTTAGTTCTTTGCTTTTCAAAAAAATACCATTTTTCATTTTTGCAACAAGAAGAGAAATGAGCATCTAAACAGGCCATAGACTCAGAGACCCTCATCTCATCTGATGACTGTACATTTCCATGCCCCTTCTCTGCGAGTTGACGTCTGCAACTACAGCAGGATATATGCACACTGGTGAGGAAAATGGAGAAAGAACAGAGCTTTTAGAGGCATCTCCTTCAATTCTAATTCTCCCCAAACACAACTGAGTCCTGACAAAATGACTATCTTTCCCTGTCAACTTTCTTCACACTTTACATATGTATTTACAGTTGTCTGCGACAGGAAAGATATGCAAGGACATATCTTTCTCCCTTAGGAAATGAGTGGACTGGACTTTCCTTAGGTGATGTGGCCAATGTGAGCGGAATATCTCAAATCTTTGATCCCACTGAATCACTAGACCATATGTCCCTTATCTCCCTTTTGAGGACCAAGCATTCAGAATCAATCATGCTTTATAGAAATAAAAGGACAGATAATAATACTGGATCGACTTCATTTAGCATGCTAGCATTATATATATATATATATATATATATATATATATATATATATATGCAAAAGTCTATCTCACTCACTTTTTTTTTAGAGTGCTGAATTGTTTTGGATACAGAATTGTAGCAGTGTGTATTTGCAGCTACCACTTGGTTAATGGCAGCAGACACTGTCAAACATCATCTGGAGGGCAAATTTGTTCCCACTTGAGAGCTACACCCGTTCATAGACCGATTACTCTGGGAGATTTTACACTAAAGATCCCTGGGTCAAATAAGATGAGCAACACCAAAACCAACAAACCAGCAACAATGACAGCAATGACATTAGCAAACTTTTAGTTATCTAACTACATGCTGCATACTGTTGTGCTCTTATCCAGTCCTCATAAAAGACTTGGAAGTTGCCATTTTAAGACACATTTTTTTTTCAGTTGAGAACATTGAGCCCCAGGGAAATCAAGCACTTAACTGACCAACATCATACAATTGGAAAGCTACACAGCCAGGGTTTGTTTCCAAGCCATCTCCAGAGCCTACACAATTATCTAGACAGTTCAACCCCTTTGGAATCCAGGTTTTTAATTTAAAATTCTTAATTTGCCATACTTATTAAGTATTTACATATCTCAGTAACCAAAAAAACATTTGACCTTTTGTCTTAATCAGTTGCTGATACTCTTTTAGTTATTTGATGTTCCTTATAAGCATCTGCGGATGCAAGCAAAGAAGTTGCTTTCCCTGGAAAAGCCAAGCAACATGAAGCTCAGGAAATTCAGAAGTCGCAGGAGTGAAATGGGGGCAACGTAACTGCGTGCAGGAGGGGATTTAACAAAGGAGATAAACCTTGAACCCGGCCTTTAAACACCCTGTTAAAGTGAGGCAAATAAATGCCTGCTTGGTGGCGAGGTATTTTATTCAGAGTTATAAGGATGTTCAAAGATCTTGACGAAGGGTTTGCTATGCTTGGAGAATCTCAGAAGCTAAGGAGCAGAGAGGCTAAAAATGCAGAAGAATATAAAAGGTGGGGTTCTGCACAATAACCTCTGCCCTGGCCTGTCTTTGTCACTGGAGGGCAGTAGACCAGCCAGAATTACACTAGATACATGGTCAGGTGAGGACTTGACCATAGCTGAAGTGAAAGTTGTCTGATGGTGGTGAGACTATGGACATGAACAAGGGGCATTTGACAAGAGTTGAGATGGACAGAAGGGCCAGGTGGGAGAATTTATTAACAAGAGAAGAAAGGCGGGCAGTGTGGAAAAGAGATTCCCCCTCTAAACGAGCTATGAGAGCAAGTAGACCGGACACGTTTGTGGAAAAACTATCGAGGAAGCAAAACAATGCACTATCGGTGGTAATATGGAAACAGTGTTTGGCAGCCATTGCAGTGACCTGCAGAACATGACTTTAATGCTTCTGGGTCTTCCTACTCCTTCAAAGAACACTCAAATTAGTTAGGCAAGGTTCAGAGCTACAAGATGGGTGCGCAGTTGCATTTCTACCTCTCCAAGCTGCACCTTGGCAACGGTTAACCTCTGAGAACATCAGCTGTTTGATCTGGGTCAGCATCGATGGAGATTCAACCAAAAGTGAATGAGAAATGAGGAGCCAGCTACATGTGTTGAGAAACTAGTCTCAGAGTTTAGTACGTGGTTGTTGAATGGTAGATAATCAGACCTTGGGACCTTTTCAACAGCCTTTGACTCATGTGTTTAACATAAGAATCATTAAAAGGAAGAAATGAAGAAATGCTCTTTTAGACCTTTAAAGGCAGTTTTTTTTTTCCTTCCTCTACTCCATTCTTTCAGAAAATAGTTAATGGTTTATTCTTCTCTCCAAAATAAAATTGTGCAGTATAATGCCAAATGAACTTTTTATCTATATATATTATGTTATGTGATAGATTTCATAAGTTCATCATTTAAATTCAAAATAAGCATGCAGCATATAGCACAACATTTTTAACCTTTTTCCCCTTTGGCCAAGTATCTCCTTCAAACTATACTGTTAAGAGTCATTTACCATTCAGTGTCTGTAAGATGAAGCAGGTTGATTTTGTTTTAATTACTATTATAAAGATTTTATGGTCTCCTCACTAGACTTGTAAAAGGAACAGCAATTTTATTTACTGCATTCCAACAATTTCTTCTACTGTTGTGTCTAAATAGTCGTGTTAGCTGCTGTTTAAGGAGTGCTATTAGGAGTCAGATCTCTTGTAAACATTCCATATCTGCTTTCCAGATTGGCAGAAAGATGAAAAGAATTGTGAAACACAGTCTCATGGTTCCTCAGTCATGAAGTGCAAACTTAAATCATGTCCTGCGTGTTTCCAACAGCCTCCTGACCTCAGGGCCTACCTCATCCTTTCTGTTCATCTCCCCAATTTTATCGTGAATCGAGTACCTGTGCATCATGAAAGCATAATCATTAATTCCACATATCTCTTACCTTATACTTTCTCTAGAATGCCATTATCTCTGTGCTTAAGGGGCTAATTTGGTATCCTGTCTTTCTGCTACAACGTTTCATTCTGAACATTCAACATTATAAATGTGTGTCATTAATAATAACACACCCCCTATTATGTTGAAATTCAAGCAAAAGTAAAAATAACATGATCTTTGCTTGGTGGAGTATTAATTTAGAAAGTTATTTATAAAATGTTGCCAAATTCAAGAAGTAACTATTCATGTAACTTAATAGCTTATTTTTATAGCTTGGATACATGCATGCATCCAAAAATATTAAAAATATTGATAGTTTTATAAAACCAGAAGTAAAAGGGCCGTTGTTGTTCATAAATGTGGACAGACAGATTAAAAACTTCTGAATAAATGTAATTGCCTTCTCTGGTCCAACACCCATTCACACCCCCCCACACACACACACACAGAAAGTAGGAGGTATATTCTATCCAAATTATCAAGATAATTAATTCAGCCTGCTGTGATAGAGAACATCCATCATCCTAGGGTGAAAATTTGTTGTCCTGTCTGTAATGAAAGAATTGATGTTCTTCACACATCCTTATATATTCTCTTCTCACGTGACTATTTTAGGTGTATCAATACATGCATGAAACGATCACTGTTAATGGCTGCCCCGAATTCCGAGCGAGGGCCACGGCAAAGGTAAGACTTGAGCAACTTTGAAACTATACTTGACCCCAGTGATGTAGTAATTGATTGTGCGCGTGTGTGTTTCAGGTATTCTCGTGTGTACACTGTAAGAGAATTTAGACCTCAGTGGCAGCCCAGAGTCTAGAACCAGTACTACTTACCAGGTAAAAAAATCCTAATGGAAAAAAATGACCTTTTCTGCTGCTTCTGTAGCTTAAGGAAGGAGAATGATCTCATTAAACTCACTAAATGTCCATTTGGCACAAGCAAATCTGCTGCTTTACTGTATCACGTTCTACATGGGTTTCTGGTCCATCCCGTGGATGCAAAAGAGCCTGTATCCTACGTAGAGCATGAAACCCCATCCGCACAGACTGAAAGCCCCCCGATGTAAGTCAGACGGGAAAGGTTTCACCCGACACCACTGATCCTGCACTCTTCTTTGTATTCAGCTGGGCAAGGGGTAATTTGTTGCAGGTGACATTGACCTAAAGGAAGGCTTGGCACCTTGTTCTTTGAAGGATCAAACCCAGAGATTACAGAGGTCCCATTGAAAAGCATACAGAAAGAGGATCACGACATTTTCTGGAAGATGGATCACTAGGAAACAATAAGAGACAATCTGAAGTAGCTCCTGCAGCTCCGCAGCTCCCATTTTGCGATTAAGGTGTTTTAAGAGAACTCTACTTCCTTGGTAAAGGGCTTGTAACTTCCTAATAATACTAAGAAGTGAGAACCACTGACAATATTCAGAATCTCTCATTCAACTCCTTTGCGTTACATCTCCCTGTTCTTTGATTTCTCCCTTGATATGTTCAGTTCTCATCCTGTAACTAAATACTGTGGACTTTAAAGTTTTGTTGGTTTTTTTTTCCTCCCCAACCCCGGCAAACAGAGGGTATGATTACCATTACATCATGTTTTGCTTGTTCTGAAGTGGAACACACACAGAAAAATGATCCCTACATGGCTTAATTAAGGGGAAAGTGAATTATGTAGCGTGTTACCATTGTCATTTCTTATTCATGTAGAACAGCAGGAGAGCAGCATAATGTTGCAATAGCACAGTATTTTCTGGTTGTTTCTGGGCTGTCTGCACTACATCCATGCCAGCCATTAAAACCTTTGCATGACAACAGGGTTTGCATGAGCAAATAAATGCATGTAGCTAAAAGCAGGCCGTTACTCCCAGGCCACTATCTTTCATTAAAATGCAGGCAGTAGCATAATGCTAAACTGATGTGATAATGTGGTGTGTGGCAAGAAGAATGTACAGTAGTTGGGAATCAATATTTTCACAGTGTTGAAAGTAAATCACTTTATGCCGGGCATCTAATCAACTGTGGTTAAGGAAAGCTAATGGATAATGGAATACAAGAAGCAGGCAGAGAAACTTGATTGAAACTACTATTGTATTCCTATTGGGTGGGAACTGATGGTAAGTTGATTTCCTGAATTTAAAGAAACCCATAATGTTGATTTTAAAATAGGACTGTGACCATATTAATGACATTTTGTATACCTAGGTAAAAAGCCCCAAGCAAGCTGTTCAGTTTGCCTGTGTCATTATACTAGCTGAAATGTTAGAGTAGAATTAGATATAATCGATGACCTATTAAGACACTGTTTGCGATAATATGGAATATTGGTAGAACAGTAGTGACTAGTACTTCATTTAAATTTCTATTTTCTTTCAAACATTCTGAATCTTAAAATAAAAACTTTTTATGTACTAAACCAGTGGTTCAGCAATAGAAATATCACACGTGGTCTCATGAACATATACATACAAAAGTGCTCACCAGTTGGTTGAATAAGTATCCATGCACATGTATGTGCAGGCAACAGCATAAATTGTGCCGTAGCAAAAGCATGGCATAGTAGAGCCATGAAATGCCTGAGGTCAACATGCTTTCAACAGTTATACCAGGTAGTATGTGTTCCAAATCTATTTGGAATCCTCGGTCAGGATTTGCGTGTAGCTGACCAACTCTGAAAGATTTTTACGGTGGTTTTGTTTTCAGTTTTACTTTTCATAGTAGATAAGCCTTACAGAGATGGCTATAACTAGCTGAGGATCTGCCAAAGAAAAGAGTCATATACAGCATCTTACAGAAGACCTTCTGTGCTCTCCCTTCTCCAGGAGGATGCTAGAGAGATGTCTAAGACCTTGTTCCCTGAAGATCATACACGTAGCCTTATTTCCCTCGTTTTATTACCAAAAGACCTGTCTTTTCTTTCAGGCAACAGTTGCAGCCTTTGCAGCGAGCGAAGGTCACTCTCACCCTCGGGTAGTGGAGCTGCCGAAGAGTGACGAAGGCCTGGGCTTTAACGTGATGGGAGGAAAGGAACAAAATTCCCCAATTTATATCTCCCGCATCATCCCCGGAGGGGTAGCTGAAAGACACGGAGGCCTGAAAAGAGGAGATCAGCTGCTGTCAGTGAATGGAGTGGTATGTTGGTAAAATACGGAGTTTTTTTCTTTTCTCCTCAAGTACATTCCTCCTCCTCATCCCCATTACTGAAGCCAGTTTTGAAATTCCTGTACAGACAGTAATTTTATGTCCATATCCAGCTAGCTTCCTGGGATTGGATGTGTAAAAAATCTATAAGGCAATAATTTTACATTTTTATGCCTCATTTCATCTTGCAACACATATGATGAATATCAACAGTTAGCAGAAATTCATGCCAAGAAATTATCACATAGAATTTCCCCCTCAGAATACTGCTACTAAATTCGTCTTCAGAAGAATATATTTCAATGCTGTTTTCATCCTACATGCCTATACGCAATTGTGTTTGAGGTTTCGTTTTGCTTTAGTTAGTTAGTTTGCTTGTTCTTTGTTTCAATGCTAGGTGTTGTCCCCACAGACATGTGCATAAGGCAAGTATTGTGCCACCAAGCTACGACCCCACCCCCAAGAAAGAGCTTCCTGTGAAACAAATCAGAACTTCTCCTTACCTTCCACTTGTATCTTCCTGTGAAACAAATCAGAACTTCTCCTTACCTTCCACTTGGATCAAACATAACCAATCCAAGATCACAAATTCCAGAAATATAAACAGGAATTTGTCAAAATAAAATTATCCCCAGACCTTAAAGCATTTACTATAAGAACTTAAGATTTAATATATAAGCTATATTTCGGTTCTTTTTAGCTACGTTGATTTATGCTCAAAACACAATATATCATATTTGAAGTGAGATATTCTATTAGGAAATGTGGTATAATTTTTCTCTTTATATCTTTAAACCTGTTTGCTTTTATTTATATTTAAAAAATAAAAACTTATTCCATGTTACAAAACTAGTTGTTTTGTATTAGCAAAAGCTATTCACTGAATTCTGCTGTCCTCTAATGAACATCAAAACTAGCAGTCCATGAATATTTTATATCATCATTACAATCCCAAATTACCATCCCTCTACTTTTGCTAGGAAACAGTGCTTTGAGATAAGTGTCTTATTGACCTTTCAATAGCTATCAATTTTCAGAGCTTGTATCCGATCATAATTGTAGAGCCCAGCTTCCTGACAGAAAATTTCAAGCAGGGTCAAACATTATGATGCACAGTAAGCTATGCCTTGGGTTATTAATTTATCGTTTCTCTGAGTGTACCTTGTACATCTAAAGAATGTATAGGTTTAAAAATAGGAAGAAGGTTAGCAAAAATTCACTCAAATGTGTGCATAGTCATTGTAGCTGTACAAAGCAACCATAGCCACCTATGACATCAATCATCAGTCTAATGGGTAAATTGACTTTGAACTGTCTTTCAAGGGAGCAAACAGCCTGTGTATAACCCACGTTTGCAAGGAGCACAGCTCCCGGCATTTCACAATCAGGCATCTATTCCTACTGTGACCTTGTGATGAACCTGGGAGGCAGCAGGGACCAGCACGACAATAAAATCAAACAGACCTAGTTTTACCACACTGTCAAGGACTAATTGTGTCTAATCCCTAGCTTTGCTATCTAAAAGGCAAGCAGGCAGACTGGTTACTAATCCTAAGAGCATTGGTGAAAATTAGTGAGGCCACATGTGTACCAAACACCATCCCCTCTGATCATTTGGTCATAGGCACCTTTGATAAGTAATTGTGACCACCAAAGAAAGTTGAATGAAGTGAGTGAGGTTTTTAAAGGGCCAGGAATACTGCTTTTATTAATGTGGTGAAAACTCAACCTTAAAGAAAATTCTCCTGTACATAAAGCCATATGCAAATTAACACATATGTATCAATAAAAAGCTTGTCATCACCTCTCTTCAGTGAAGCTGGTGAGATCCCACTTCTTTGTCTATTTGGGTATTCCAGCCATAGATTTGGAAGAAAGATCCACTTGAGTCAGGTAAGAATATCCCAGGGTCATTTTTTTTTTAGCCTTCCATTCAGTGTCAGAGAACCATAAACTCCATTAAGCATACAGTTTAACTTTTATCCTGTGTTCACATTCTTACTAGCCCCATGTACTGGATTCTTACACATCATTTATGTTTCCAACAAAATTGCAATTTACTAATAGTTTCCATTTATTGACCATATGATGTTAGTGAACAAGGCACTAGCTTCACAATTTGTGACATAGTTTGCTAAAGAGAAAAATAAACTATTTGTTCACTGCAGCCAGTCTAACAAATGCTCACCCTTGTCTTGGCTGGAGCCAAATTATTTCCCTCAGCATAGCCTGGTTTATCAACCTCCAAGAGTTATATCTTAAAATATTGCACCTGCATACAACACATGGTAACAATTACCTATTTTTAGTCTGTTTAAGAGTAAATCATATACATACATACATATCTATGGAACAACAATTATTGAAAACAAAAAGCGCCGTGAATTTGAAAGAGAGTAAGGGGAGGTATTGGGAGGGCTTGGGAGAGAGGAAACAGAAGGAGGAAATGGTCAATCTCAGAAAAGAAAGGAAATACTTTTTAAGTACACCAGAAAGAAAGCTATGTCCATTTTATCAGGCACTCACCTCAAGGTATTTTTCTATAAGAAACTACATGGCTCACTGCCATGCTCCTACTCACAGGAATAGTTAATGCAATCCCAGGACCCTGGGCCTTTAGCCCAGATTGCAGTTGTTAGTGAAAATAAAATATTTTACAGTAAAATGAGTTTGAAGGCCCTGTAATTGAAAGACCAAAAGCAAACCAAAGACAAGGTTAGTAAATGACCAAGTGGTTGCTGTGTCTGTTGTGGAAGATGGGCACCACTAAGCTACATGTGGAAGAATTTCAGAACATAGGCTTCTAAGGAGTGAGTTTTAAAGAGAAGAGATTTGTGAGGCTCAGGCAAACCTTACCTCAGTAAGTAAGCATTCTGAGAACAAGTCCCAGATGGCCTAATTAAATGCTAAATTATCCCATGGACTCAAAAATCCTAAATGATGTTTCTAATGGCACCAATATTTTGTGGTTTGTTTGCTATTTTTATATCTCGGTTACACTTAGGGAGGGTATGCCATGATATCTACCAAAATTTATCATGTATTAACATAGAGATGATAACAAAAAATGCCAGATAATAAAGGGAGAGTAGAGGGAGATCGATGAATAAGAAAAATACAGCAATTGAGCAATTGATTTTTTTTTCCCGTCTTATAAGTCAAAACAGAAGGAAACTCATAACAGCTCAACGCTCACTGAAGGATTTTTTATTTTTTGTCATTTCTGGCTAGAAAAGAAATTTCCCATGGGGTTCTTATAAATGAGACACTGAATCACCTAATATAGCTTCATTGAAAATACAAAGTCCTTTGCATGAGGCTACTTCTTGTGTCAAGCTTTAGCAAAACCTCATAGCTGAATTAAAATTTAACATTAATAGCAGGTCAAAAAGTTACAGTTAGAATCTATAGCTCTCTAATGGCCTCCTTTTCACACTTGCTCAAGGACTATTTCTAAAGGTCACAGCCAGTGAGCACCCAACAGGGACAGCAAATATATTTAGTGGTAGAGCCAAGATATAAGAAAATCTCAATAGATGGTGCAATGGGCTTCACTTAAGCAACCTCTTCATGAAGTACTGCTCTGATGCCAGAGCCTGTGTATATATGGAGTCAGCATGACATGGTTAAGCAGCAAAGCTTTAAAAGAATACTCGGGGGACAGTAACTGAATTTAAAAGCAATAGCAAGCAAATTGATGTGGAAGGCAAAGGAAAAAAAGCAAAACCGTGTTAATGTGTTTGTGGAATCATTGATTCAAATATCGCTGACAACCGCAAAGGTCTAGGCTCAGCCCTTGGGTGTGCTGTGCGGTGGTCAGTCCGTAAAGTAGCGGAGTCAACCATAACTTAGCCTGCTACCCTGAAGTGTGCTTTACTAAAGGACTTAAGCCATTTGGCTAGAGAAGAGAAAGTTTAGGAGAATGATGATATCTCCAGTTGACCTCCATTGTGCCAAGTCCCAAAGGACATGGCCAATGCAACCAAGGCAAACACATGAAGTTTGTAGGGAAAGCAGAGTCCTGTTTTCCTAATACAGACCTTGTACATGTGTAAAACTATCTAAACATGAAGAGTATGCACTCAGTTCCTGAAGTTTGAATCAGATATTAGAAGGTCATCTACCATTCTATATTTCAAAATACAAATAATGTGCACACAGCTGCATTGGGCTCAAAGGTCCCTGCCGTCTCTGTGACCCTGATTTTATAGCTTAGATAGAACGTTTGCTCATTCCACCATACACTGGTTCAAAAGCACATACCACCTCATATTCCGAAGCTGAAGGTAGGCCCAGCCTATTGTCTATGGATCCTATTCTTGAGATATTGTCCTTAGAGAGAATTAAAACTTTGTGACATTGTACTTTATAGTGTTTAGCATCTTAGAGATTGGTAGCATTTTACCAAGTGGTTGCTCAAAACAGTCTCACAAAATGGGAAGGACATTCTGCACTACACACACACACACACACACACACACACACACACACACACACACACACACGCACGCACCAGTGATCACACTTACATAAACTCACAGACACACAATTGTAAACACATGAAATGTATTGCAGACTTTCCTGTGGTGTTAATTGATTACCAAGCGTCAAAAGAGATTGTTCGAAAATCAATCCCAGTTGAATCGGAATGAACCCGTAGCTACATGAATGTCAGTTTCCTGGAGCTTTCATTATTTTATAGTCCTGTAAGATGCTAACATAAAACAAAGCTGGATAAAAGGTACGGGAGAGGTCCCTATACATTTCTTCATCATGTTATAATGCTATAATCAGTTCATACTATTTCTAAAAAGAGAAACTCGAAACAGTCACCCCCAAACACAGTAGCCTACAAGTACTATTGGAAAAGAGGAAGGTAGCAAATACAGCAAAGGACAGAAAGAAAGACAGGAAAGAGACATGAGAACTTTAATCACAGACCAGTTGAGAAGAGGTCTGGCTACCATCAGAAATCCAGAGGTTGCCCCAGA